AGGCAGAAGACAAAACAGAACAGACAGTGTAACTTAAAGGGAGATGCTTTCAAAGCAGTCCCGATCCCAAGTAGCCATGGGAGGAAATACGGGAGAACCGAGGCTGCAGGACTGGATGTGATTCTTCCACGGGAGCAATTAATAGGGTTGCCAGAGAGGTGAAAAGTCAGAGGAGAGTTCTGGACTGGCTAGAATCAGAAATTCAACAGGAGCTAAGTGACATTTTAAAACATCTGGAACATCTGCAGCACACTGCATGTTGAACACGAGCCAGAGCAGCCAGCTTTATTACGGGCATCTATATGGAAGAGATGTTCAAAGGCCCGTACGCCATCCTCACGGCAGCACCCCGAGACACCACATTGACTCCCTCCTGTTCCCAAGCTGGATAACATACAGCACCCAAAGGTGCCCATCCCAGCACAACACCCACCCCCCACCTCGCTGCCCACCCAGCAGGAGCAGCCCCAGGCCCACAGCCGCACCAGGGCTGGAGGAGACAGAGAAGCCACCGAGCGCCGTGGAAGCACAAGTGCAGCCACGACCACTCTGGGCAGCCAGAGGGTGGTCCAGAAAGGGTTTGGGATGGTCAGTCCTCAGCCTTGGTCTTGCTGCTGGACTAATTCTCCATCAGGGAGGCAGAGTATCACCCACGCACTGCTCTCAAGACAGGCAGATCTGTCCTTCCCAAAAGGCTTAACGCCCCCGTGGCTTGGTTCACGGGCCCTGTTTTCCACATCACCTGAGAAGCTGAGGGGACACCGCACTAAAGCACAGAGCAAGTTTTTCTTGAAGATGCGTTGGACACGCTGCTCTGGCACGAGGGCCTCGAGCCACCGGCAGCACCTCGTTACAATGGCAGGAACCTACTGCACCCAACGCTACCAGGTTTCACGTGCGCTCTACTTGTAGAGCCAAGGGCTTTTCCCAGGAGATTCAAAGTCCGCACACATCTCCAAAGCCAGCAAAGCACCCTGAGCTGGGGCAACTGCACCAGCATGAATGCAAATCATGCCACCAGCAAGGCCCTGTTTAAAAGGAGCTCTGGGTTCTCATTAACCGAGGCCCTAACAAAGGTTTAATATGAACTTCCTTCCACCCAGACGGGCTCAGCGTGGAGTCAACACACAGCCCCTCCCACGCCATACACAAAAATCTTGATTTTCTTCGAGTGCAATTGTGATCAAAGCGAAATACGAGACACACACACACACACACACGTACAGAGGAAAGATCTCTCGGGGATTAGTCAGCTGCTGAACTCCAGAAGAGCGTGCTTGGCGGCATTGTCAGGGGAGGGCAAGGAGAGGAAAGCACTGCACCTAGCACGGCGCCTGCTTTGGGGAGCTCCAACACCTGCACAGCGACTCCAGCCCTCTTCATGCAGCGCCAGCATTCCAGACACAAATACAGCAAGGCTGTGGCGTATCAGACCGATTCTTTCCCTGGGAAGCCTCCTCCTGATGTCTTGAAGAACAAGAGGAAATCCACTCCTGGTGCTACACAGCGCTGCGTGCTGCTCGGGGCCAGCTCCCTTTCCATGCATTCCCCCACAGAGGCACCAGCAAACGTCCTCCTTCACCCGGGGACCCGGTGCAAGCCTGTGTCCCAGCCTCCTGCGCAAACCCCAGAGCTGCTCTTCTGCCACCAAAAATCTTCCCTCCAGGCACCCTCGGTGCTGAGCCGGTTTGCAGAGCTTAGCCAAATCTTGCATTTTGATGACAGCTGGTCAAAGCATTTTTACTACAATTAAGTGTAATCAAAACACGCTGTTTCTACTCTAACCTGAGCTGTTTCACAGAGATGCCCTAGTTTGAACTCGCCTCTTAGACAGGAAAGATTTTGATGTCTAGGATTTTTCCAAGCTGGAGCGACAGGAGATGAAGATACTCAAAACATGAATGTTTTTCCACTCAGCTGCCACCATTCTTCCAATTCCTTCTGCAAAAGCACTCAAAAGTTTGTTTTTAAACTCAAAGTGCAGCAAAGAAGAGTGTTCTGGGCAGCTCTGCTTTGAACCCTCCTGTGGGGAGCTGATGGGAAACAAGTCCTGGAGCAAAATTCTCAGACTCGGAGCTCAGAAATGGTTCCCAGGGTGGCAGAGGCAGGTTCTCATGGCTGGTTTTACATGGCCTCCCAGAAGGCAGCAGGGCAGTGGCACTGGGCAAGCCGAAAGGGACTTCCACAGACCTCAGGAGAGGCCTGAGCTTTAGATGGGGCTCGAGGGAAACCAAGGCTTTGGGGGTCAGTTTGTTCCATGCTTTCTACAGCAAACCTGCTAGCACCCAACCTACAGGATACTCACACAACCACCAGCCTTCCACGATGGAAGCAAGCCCACTGGATATGACAAGGCAAGCGAAACAGCTGCCAAGACAGCCAGATGCCAAAATAAGAATCACTGCATCTCCCCTGAGCAACACTTTTTGACCTACCTGAGACATCAGCAACTCAAGGTTGCCTTGTTTTTTTTTGTCATTCCACAGCAACACAGTCTGGACGGTCTCCATCAGCTTGGAGAAGCCAGGTCCACCACACATGGCGAGTTGTCTGCAGGCTGTTTTCCAGCCCTCTCCAGTCCTCACTCTCCCCACGCCAGCCTGGTGGCCCTGAGCCACCGGCCAGGCAGGCTGATCCGAGCCAACAGCATCCTGGTGAGCCATTGGGAAGAGGGGCCTAATTAATTAAAGGAAGCAAGCTATGCAGCAAGCGATCTTCAGAAAAGAGGGAAGCCCCAGAAAGAATCATCTGCTACCCACCATCAGGAAAGGTTATCACAGCCAGGAGGAAAGATAAACCCACCATAACTGTATGGACCTGCAATTTCAGCAGACAGGAGCGAGTTTAGACACGTCCAGCTTTGGCACATTCAACTCCCTTGCACAACAGCATGGGAGCAACACCAAGCAAATCTTTCCTGCAGTGCTGCATCAGGGGGCATGCTCACAGACCAACGCATCCACCGACAGCCTGGTGCACCCTTCACACCTCTCCCCTCCTGGGACCAGGGCACCAGTACAGCTGGAGTGACAGTCCCATCACCACCCCGAAGCTCTGCAAGGAAAGCTGTCCATGGCTAGGAGGTGTCCCCAGCGGCAGCAGGTCCCAGTTGAGCTCACCAAACACAGCCAACCCCAACACACCGGGGCTGTAACAAGCATTACACAAATGCAACACAATTTTGGATCTTCCCCCGCTACAAACAAAAGCGGGAATAGGTCCCAATTCTACACTGAATCTATAGTATTAGGAGGAAAACTAGATCTCTCATCACCTCCCAAAGGTCTCACGGGACAACATCCTTCACTACAAATGGGAACCACCTAGCTCAGCCACCCCAGCTCACACCCAGCGTGTGCAAAACTGAGCATAGCACAGAACACAGCAAACTAGTGAGGACAGAATTCTTCCAAAGGCTTGCTCAGATTTAACACAACCAGCCACGCACACACTCTTCTTTCTCCTCCCTCCCTCTGCACTAGGTGCAAAGGAGGAGCTGGACTGATACCTTTCAGGTGCAATACAGCATATATATATATATATGCACGGGCAGAAAACCTTCAGTGTCCCTCCCGCTTACAAAACCCACTTGAGACGCGTGCCTCTTGTGAGCCGCGTTGCTGAACTAGCTCTCTCCCAGCCTCAGAGTCCGGTCATTTACCCCTGTCAGCATTCACAGCTGGAAAAAGGGGTTATGGCCTCTCCTCTGCACGTCCAAGGGAAGGAGGGAGCCAATCTGCATGTTTATTTGTTGTCTGTGCAGAATTCCTGCATTCCTTCCCTTGTTTACTCATCTGCTCTCAGGACATACTCAGACCCCAGCAAAGGGCTTTTGGGGCACCGCATTCCCCCACGAGCTCGGAGCTCTTGCTGGAACACACGACAAGCATAAGGGGGTGGAGGGAAGAGAGAAGCCAGCAAATGGGTTATTACAGAAGTATGTTTTCAAAGCGGCAGGGCAACAAGGGCAAGACAGACCAATCCTCTCCAGATCTGCTCTCCATAGAGGCACATCTCCACACGTGGAGGTCTAAGACCCTACTGAAGAGCACATATGGGCTGTCTCCCTTTCAGCTCTTCCCAACAGCTGTGTTGTTACACCCAGAGCAGCAGCGGTAACTCAGCCACCCTCTTTGGCACGAGCATGTCAGTGCCGCTCACGTTGTCCCACACACAGCTACAAGTCAGCCCACGGTCCCCGCGCTGAGCATCAACGCGGTGCACACATACTCCATGAGCACCACACAATATTACAACCCTCCTCATCTGAGCAATTTTGGGAGCAGACACAAAGGCTCCAGCGAGACTAATGTGCAGGTGACACAGGGTTTCACCACAGCAATACAGAAGCACACTCCCCAAAAATCACTCAGCTGCTTGGCTTGGTTCTGACTTAGTTATACCTTGGAGAAGGCAAGCTTTACCCCCAAGCAGCACTCGGCTGGCTTCTCAGATCCCTGCAGGAGTCCGTAAGTCTGGCTTAGCAAACAAGGAAGCTCCGAGGCAGAAGCAGCTAGGGGCGATTGCCATGAAGGACAGGCCTTCACCACAGCATTAACCCATTATTAGCTCTAAACCTACAGGAAAATCTATTTCGGGTGTGAGGAGTCTAAATTCCCCGGTAAGTGCCTGCCACACGCTTGTGTTAGGACAGAACTTGCAGTCAGGATGCTCCCAGCCACATCAGGCTCATTGCAGAGGGCACTGAGAACCTGCATCAAAACTGGAGGGAAAAAAAATATAACATAAAATAACTTCACTTGCCTGTACCTTGATTGCAAGCACTGCCTCTGACAACAAGGTCAATGCCACACACCGTCCCCGTGACAAGCGAGTCCACAGAGCAGCGTGGCTCTACCCCAGACACACGCAGAAGAGCAGGACTGATCTGCCTCATCGCCAGCGAGACCATTTGCCAATCAATCACTGACAAGCCAAGAAGCACGAGGAGTCCCAGAGCACCCCCCGGGGAAAGCCCAGCACCCACACTCCAGCCTCACCTTCCACGCAGTGCTCCACCTCCTCCAGGTTACGCAGCGTTATCCGCATGAGGCTGGAGTTCAGCATCAGCTCGTTGCGGTGCGCCGGCCACATGTACTGCGGGGCAGGGTTGACGAAGAAAATCCGTGTGTCCCCCGTTGAGACTTGGTTGTCGCAGATTAATGGGTCCCCGAAGCCACCAATAACCACCTTGTTCCCACCATCCAAGAGGATCTCATGAGTGACGATGTCTTTGCCTTTCAGGTAACGCCAGACTCTCACCTTGAACGAGAGGGAGAAAGAGCACGTGAGGCCATTTCACAGGCACCTTCTGACGCGGTTAATTCTTATCATGTTGTCACAAGATGCACAAGAGTGGGTCAGGCTGGCAAAGCCCTCCAGCAGAGCTGATTTCATTAACCATCCCTCCAAAAAGCAGAAAACACATGGGCAACAAAGACTAAAGCACTCTTTCTGCCAAAGCTGAACCCAACTCTTCAGCCCAGGCACCCCTGGCCCCTTCCCCACCCAGCAAAGGGGGACAGGCCTTGTGTCACAAGGGGACCCTCCGCCACGCTGGCTCTCCAGCAAGGGACAGAGACCTCGTCCCTGGGCACTGGGACACGCTGTCTTCGGTGCAGAGACCCAGGACCTGCCTTCCCTTCCCACCTCTCCTCCCTTGGCTTTGGCTGAGCCCAGAGCCTGCTAACCAAGCACGCCGCCAGCCCAGTCGTTGCTGTTGGAGGCCCAAAACAGCCTGATGGAGAGCTGCCCGGTGACAAACCCCACCACGAGCCACCTTGACTCACCTCCCCAGAGGCCCACGAAACCATCACCAACCCCAGGGAGGGCTCAGCATCCCCACCCCAAGGGCAAACATCCAGCAAGCCCCTGGCACGAAGGACACCGCAGGTTGGCGAAGGGTAGCGATGCCCTCTCCTTTGCGATCCAAGCCCTATCAAGGCCAGCATGCAAGCCTCAGCTTTGCCAGAGGATTCCCCCTTCTACTCCCAGGCAGCATCATTCAAGGTGACAGACTCCAGCTGGTGCAGTTCTCCCAGAGATCCCCTGACTTGCAACAAAAATCTCAGTGGTGAAACGTATCGAGGGAGAAAACACTACTGGATTAAAAAAAAAAAAAGCTTTGAAGGAAACATCAAGTGGCTGGAAGCCCGCAACCAGCGTAGGCTGCATGGCTAAATAGAGCCCTGTCCATCCACAGAGGCAGCTCTGAACGTTGGCACAGGAGCAGGAAGGGCAGGTGGGTTGGGTGAATGAGAGAAGGGAGTCTTCTGGCTCTGACAAGGCACCTTGGGAAGACAAAAGGCTGAGCAGATAACACTCCATGCAGAAATGTCAAAGGCAACTTACGCTCCTATAACCGACTACAGAAAACCTTTGCGTTAGCAGACTGGATTTGCTGAAATACGTGGAGGGTTTGGCAGTAGGAGCCCATTTCCCTTTACTCATCCAAGCTTCAGGAAGAAAATAAGTCCTGGCCACAAGAGTCAGCCCTGCTCTCCCCCCTTCCACTGCCAGCGGTTCTAGAGCAGTCTCCCTGGACCTCCGTGCTGGCTCATCCCCCTGCCCAAAAAAGGCAAAATCTGCACACAACTGCAAGCCAACCTCTCTTTCCAGTGCCACGCTCCCTGCAGCGAACTGCCCAAAGGAAACACCCGCACAGGAGGGAAGCAGCAGCCCTAAAATGAATCTTTAGCGCCCGTGGGACACCAGAAACATGTCCCCAACGGCTCTCGATCGGTTACAAATCCTCCTCCTGCTGCTGCGATGCTATTGCAGGGGAAACACGACACAGGCGAGTCGGTGAGTTGCATGGGAGAGGAACAGCTCATCAGAGAGCTGCCCGAGGTCTCAGCTTGGAGCCAGGGTGGCTGCTGTAGCACACTGGTATTACCGTGACCACAGGCATCCCTGGCCTGCCATGCTCAGAGCGTGCTTTTATCGTGCTCCCTGCCAGCATCTCCCCTCCTACTGCAGCCCAAGCGCCCAGTCACCTGCGTTCTCCAGCCTTCACGGCCCAAAGAGCACTTCAGCACAGCGTGCCAAGCACCAAAGCGGTCAAGGAGGTGGTGGCTCAGAGATAAGGGGGCTCTTGATCCCCTCTCCGAAACGGGCAGGCACGTATGTACTTAGAGAGCGCAATTCTGAAGGGAACGCAAGGGACAGAAAGGATGGTCACCTACGTGTGGGCAGGCAGGTCTCTCCAGACCTTGGGGGACACTAAGAGAGGCAGACAGTTGTTCACACTACAGCTTCTACGCTTGACCCAGGGGTTGCAGTGGTGTGGGGGGAGTGGTTATACTTGAGGAGGAAAGCACAGAGTAGACATTATCCCACGCGAGAATGAACCATTTTTTGTTATCTGCAACTGCAGCTCCCTGGCCTCTGACCTGCAGGGCCCTCCAAGTGCGTCGTGCTGCCCTATGGGCTGCTTCGAGAGCACTCAGACACAGACTCTCACTCTTTGCCAGATCCTCCATCCCATTACTCAAGAGACTGCAGAAGAGACACACAAAGAGCTGACACTGCAGAGTTCAAGCAAGTGGGTAAAAACACGATGGGGGCTAGGAGGACTGCAAGTCTCATGACGTTTAATCAATCTTGTAATTTCTTGAAGCCCCAACTCCAGAGTTTCAGGGCTGTGAGCTCAGCGCTACCTCAGTCCTGATCAAGAGGCTTCAAGGTCCACAATGATCTTGAGCTGAACTCCCACACACTGTCCCTGGCACGACTAGGAGCGGGCAGCTACACGTGCTGGGGCAAGGGAACAGGGCCATTCCCACCACCACAGGAGCAAGCAAGCTGGGATGAGCCCCTCCTGCTCAGCACAACCTTCACCTGTCAAGGAGAAAAAGGGGATGAGTTTAGCATTGCTGTACTCTACAGGCGCAACTGAAGGTTAAGAACAAAAGTTGAGGAGTGTACTTTATTCTCACACCCTCCTACTTCTCACACCTTCTCCTGAAGGTGTAATATTTGCCCACCGTGGAGAAGGACTCTGGACCTGATGGGTCCCAGCTCCCACAGCAGCCACTGCATATTACTGAGGTGAGCCCTGTTCTCCTGCATACCTGAGATCAAAAAACATCCCAGGTATAAACACCGCTGCGACAGCTCCTCTTTGGAAGACTGCACATGCCTTGGCTGCTCCCAGACGCCGAGAGGTTAGCTGGAGACATAGTACCCGCATGCTTTCACACTCATTTATCTCCCAGCACGAAGGCAGGCAGCTCCCCTTGGGCCAGCGCTAAGAAATGCCACAGCAACCAAAGGACAAGCAATAACTTAGACGCAGGCCACCAGCCCTCCCCACACAGTCCACGTCCAAGCTGCTGGGCAGGGTTAAGAAGAGGAGCTGAGAAAGCCGTGCCTTCAAAGCCACGGGCACAGCGTATTTCAGCCCGAGGAGGAGCCGACTGCTCGGTTGTACGCAGCCCTGTCAGAGCCGGAGCTCTTTTCTCGAGAGAGATGGCAGTCAACCAGCAAACAGAGGGAGCTTCAGATGGCAAGGAAGGGGAACTGTGACAGGCAGCTTTCCTCCCCTCTGATCTCACAGGAATCCCAGTTATCGACGCAGACATCTGCTCCACCACATGCAGGTGGTGCCACCCCATGCAGCCCCTTTCAAAGAGCCAGTCTGGGGCCACCTGCGATCCACGGCACCTCAGGTGAGCCGAGCAGGCAGGGTGCTAAGCAGCACAGCTTGCCCGGCTTTAGCGCAAGCCTGCGCTATCGCAAGCCTCCTGCTTTCCCCACCCGGGACCAGCTGTTTCTCCAGCATTTCGCGGCAGCAGCACAACTCCCTGGGGTTGTGCTTCTCCCCACAGTCAAGTTCAGACACCTTCCTGCAGCCCCACCAGCCCCACCTCCTCTTCCTTCGGCAGCAGCCTGCAGCCCGCAGGGCAGGCGCTGGCTGCAAGGAGGTGAGTGCACCAGCAGCCAGGGCAGAAACCCAGGAAGGCAAAACAGACAAAAGGGGGGGAAAAAATAAATATATATATATATATACACACACAAGAGGCAGGCAGAGAGCACCGCCTGAGGCTTGCGCTGAAGGGTAGCAGTTGGGCATTTTCACAGCTAGGTCTAAGGCTGAAGCCTACCCCCTTCTCCTGAAGCAGATGGTAATCTGAGTTAATTAGCATTGTTGTTCTACTCATACACCTCAGAGCCAGGCCATAGCATTCACAAGCAACATCAGAGTCCACCAGCCTTCTCCCCACCCTTATCCTCTATAATGAATGGATGCGAAGGCACCAAAGACCAAGCAATTACCTGTAGGGCATCCCATTCATCATCACACATAATTAAGACTTTGTCACTGGTGACTCACCAGCTACATCAAGGATTGGGGAAGAAAAGGGAGAGAGAAAAAAATGGGGCTGGAACCTGGTTCCAAGAGGTCCCTTCCCTATAGCAGACTCACTCTTTTGCCAGCGAGCACATAAAACACTGGATTAAGACTGTTTTACAAGACTCCTGGCAGCTACAGAGAGGCAGAGCGAGCACAGCAAAAGCTTTATTTAAGCAGATCCTTGCAAGGGTATATTTTAAATGCAGAAAGTAGAAGGATTGTCCAATAAGCCATGGGAGTCCATCCCACAGTAGGGAATGGGACCACCTGTACCAGCACGGGCACCGCTAGCGAATTCCTGCCAGGAAGATGCTTTGAGAAACGCCAGCCTTGGTCTTGTAAAGAAAGATGAGAAGCTCAAGCATAGTCTCCTCAGAAAGAGAGCTGTCACTCCAGACAGAAGTAAAAAAGGGTCACCATTAGATTTCAGCAGTTCTTAGAGGAAGGGTCCTGGCATCAGCTCTGCCAAACCCTTCCCTCCTGACCACACGTCGTCCCTCTCCCCTTCCTTCTCGCTCTCTGTGCCTTCCTCCAGCAGAAGCCGGCTGCCCTTTCCCTAGGAGCTAGCCGAGCACCAAACCCACCTCCCCCAGCCACTTCCACATCCAACCCTGGCTGGAGAACAGCCACCCTTACCCCCCAAAATACAGGCTCTATTGTTTGGAACAGGATCCACATCCTTTTCAACGCTTCCTAGAGCACATATAGAACCTGTATTTGTCCTATAAATAGGAGCTCCCTTCATAAATATCAGGTCAGACCAGAACGAGGCACATCAGAGGGCTCAAAAGCAGGAAGGGACAGTGCCAACACACGGGCTGTAAATAGGATGGACAGCAGCACGGCAAACCTGCGCAGAAGAGCAAGCCCAGCACCCCGGTTCCCAGAGCAAACCCCTGGGTGAAGCAGCACATCAGCCCCTTTCAGAGTCAATTCCAGGAGTTCTGTCAACCTCTTCCCCTTTATTATTCATCTCCTCCAGCAGCAAATGAATGGCTGGTAGCTATTTACAGGTGTTTATCTAACATTAACTTCACATTTCTTCTGAGTTGTAATGTGCTTATCTTCATCTATCAAAGGCTTCAGCTGGGAGGGTTGAGAGTTTAACTAGGAAGAACAATACGCTAAGGCAGCACTCACAGATATTCACATGCCTGCTCCCTTGCAGACCACCCAGCACCCATAACACTTGCTATTTTGGGTGTGGGCTCTAGGGAACTCCTACCACACACTTGGCCCTTGCCTTTCCTCTTCAGATAAAGAAAAGCCTGACAAGAGATAACTGTGGTATTTGGAGGTAACCCCAGGGCCTAAGGAACAGTTACCAGAACATGACAGGGAGGAAGTGGCTGTGTGTCTTCTCACCAGCTAACCTGCAAGATCCTTTCTGCACCTGGAACTAATTCCAGCTCCACAGGGAATGAGGGTCCACACAAGGGCAGCGGGAACCAGCGGTCAGGTTTAATGCCCAAACCGCCCTTTTGGCACCTAGGCGCTTGGTAAAAACCAAACCAAAATGCAAGCGTGTCTAACCCTGCAACCCAGCGTCAGCAGAATCCACAGCAACCTCAATACTTTGAGAGATCCGAAGAGTGAAACAGGCCAACAGCTGCTGCAAAGCTATGCATTTACAAGTCACGAGCGCTACGCGCTGCTAAGTCACAGTTAGGCAAGATTTATCGGCTTTCAGGTCCTTAAGACACCCCCAAGTCCCATTTCAAAGCTTTTTTTCCTGCAAACACACTATGACCATACCGTTAAAAATGACACGGAAAAGACTGATGTGTAGGCAAAGCCACTGTTCTAAGAAAATTGCTAAATGTCACAGCATGAGCAGGACAGCAAGCAGCACTGCCACAATGAGATGGGATGGGCACTTCCATCCACAGTAGAGGAGAAGGTTTTTCTCCTTTCACTTTCTTTTCCAGGACTGGAAAAGGATCTTGGGAGCACGTTCTGGCCTTCAGGTGCTGCTATGACACTAGTAATCGGCAGAAGCAAAATCCCACTGGAGTAAGGAGCACCAGCCTTCTCCACAGCATCCCTTGGGATGGCTCAGGGAAAGGTGGGCAAGAGACCCTCCTCCCAAGCTGAGCTGTGTTTCAAATAAAGCCACCACCAGCAGACCAGCTTCCTCCCCACACATCGCTCCCGAGCTGCTCCTACTTGGACGTGCCAGCACCCTTTCCAAGGCAGAGCTGCTGAGCGAGCGCATTCATCATCCCAGGAGCACAGGCAAAACGGTTTTCGTGGACCAGAGTCTTGGATATCACACTAGCCAGACACCTTGCTGCCTGTCTGCAGGGGGAAGCAAGCAACCCATTTCTTCAATGAGCATTTCTGCCTCCCCACTAGCCTCGCCGGACCACCTCCTGCCCGCTCGCACGGCGAGCGCGAGGTGGCCCACATCCATCCAGCCATATGTGCCGCAGCACACCGGCTGCTCGCAGCAGCTTATTAGTTTTCGACGTAGCACCCAGGACGTGCCAGACACTTTGCAAACATACGGTCTCTGCACTCGCCTGGAGGGGCTGTGATTTAATTTACGAGAGCAGGGTACAGATTGTACCGAGGGGCAGAGCGGTGGGAGCAAGCGTGAAGCAGTGGGCACCAGCTGGACAACCAGAAGCTGTTCCAACTAGTTTACTGGGCTGAGAGATGCTCCAGAACAGAGGGCAACGCCATGGTATGAAGTTCACCTTCCCCTGCCCCGGCAGACCTCTCCCACCAACGCACTGCTGAGCATCACCCCAGGCCCTGCTTAGCCCCAACCGCAGGCAGGAACCGCAATACTTTTTAAGGCTGGGCAGAAAAGGGGACGAGGAGAAAAAGCAAGGTAGCAGCATGTCCTCGCAAGTGAGATTTCCTGCCCCGGGAAGGGTTAAGCCATGCAGCACGTTTTTCTGACAACCAGGCGGATGGTATTTCAGGTTGCTCAGTGCTTTACCGTCTCTCAGCTTTGGAGAGGGGGGGAAAGGGAAAAAAAAAAAAACAACAAAAAAAACCATAGCCAGAGGCCAGATTCGTAGTTAAACAATAGCTTGAGCTAGAGGAGCTCAAGATGCTGCTAAAGTAAACAGGGAGCTCCGCGTAAAGCCAGCAAGCGGCTCCGAACACCTTCCCCAGCAGCTTCAACCCTACCCCAGAGCAGAAAGTTGGGAATCAGCTCCCGCATCCCGGCAAGGAGGGAAATGCCCATAAAAAGCAACCTTGCGAGATTCCCCTCGCCACAGCTGCGGGAGCTGCAGCGGCGAAGAGACTCCGCAGTCTAAAAATACATAATTACACACCAAAGCTCCGGCGCGTACAATAAAAACCACATGCGCCCGCCTGCAAAA